TTATTTGATGCCCTCAAACTCGAGCGTCACGTCGTCACCAATGAGAACAAACGGTGCCCAGTACTTCACTGCACTAAAGCGGTCAGATTCTCTCATGGATTTCATGGCCTCATTCAGAGCCTCACTGGCACTTTTTCCATTGACTAGTTGTCGGTAGAAAAATTCCATGAACTCCATCGTAGCCTCGTCGTCAATCGCCCATAGGGAGACCAGAACAGAACGAGCACCAGCACCCAAAAATGCCCGTGCAATACCGACCACGCCCTCAGATTTGACCTCGCCGCAAGCACTATGACAGCAACTGAGTACAACAAGTCTTGCCCTAATCTGCGCCTTTAAAACATCCTTCATAGTTAAGAGATAGTCCTCCCTGGCTGTATCCACGGATGAAGGGTTTGTGTTTGGGGCCAAGGCAATTTCTCCTGTTTCCATTTCACCGTGAGCAGCAATATGCACCAAAGCAACAGAGGAGATACGTCTCAAAACTTCATCTTTTGTTGCCTGCTTTCCAACGAGAGGTTCCGTTTGAAGTATTTCCCCAATCATCTGCACTTCTTTTTCAGCCCACTCTAACTGCTCTAGCGTCGTTACCTCCTGTACCCACGGATCGCCGACGAGAAGAACGCCAGTCTTACTGTGCCAATCTGCTGGACAATTTTGGATCAATTGCAGATTAGAAAGCGAGGGGAGCAGACGAATTCTAAACGTTTCGCAGAGGTACTTTGATTTCAAGTCCATAAAAGCAGCATAAGGCGCCAAACACAGTGGTCCTTGTGGAACAATCACAACTTCATCGCCGTCGAGTAAGTCTCTTATAGGGTCTATAACAACATTATACCATGTTTGTAATGACTTTCTCTCAAAACATGAGGAATAAGACCTTGGCTTACTAAATCTTTCTTCCGCTAACTTTTTATCGCTTTGGTTCCTTAATGAGCGATCCTCACAGTTAACATTAGCTTTCACTCCTATTTCTTGTCGTGTAGTCTCCAGGGCTAGCAGAGACTGAAAATAGGTTGTAATGGAGATATTGATGTCGCTTTCTCTGGTTTTGATTTCTTTTCCTTTCTCGTTCACCCAGAGAACTATTCCTTTTTTGTTGATCCCTATGAAAGCTGTATTTGATGGTAGGTAACTTAGAATGTCAGGTGTTGTTGCAGACAGTGTTCCTAGTTCTGAACGTGACCCTTTTAAACCATACTTGAACTCCAGAAGATCATTTAACGCTTGTGCACGTCCATGATCGGCAGTTAAAAGTGCCTCGACGACTTTACCTTGCAGAAATTGCAGCACCCATAGCATCAGATTAACATTATCATACGTACTCCCAAGGCCAATTTTCCATTCATCATTAGCTATGAGACTTCCTCTGATGTAGTCGAAGGCTATAACACTGTTTTTATAATAGTGAATGGCTTTCTGCAAATCTCCCTGACTTTTATAGGCGTTGCCAAGATTACAATACGCTGTTGCTTCTCCTGCCCTGTCTCCTACTTCTTTCGAATATTTGAGGTCTCGTTCATGGTACACTATGGCTTTCTGGAAATCTCCAAGATAGTGATAGGCGTTGCCAAGATTACTGCACGCTTTTCCTTCTCCTGCCCTGTCACCTACTTCTTTGGCAATTTTGAGGTCTCGTTCATGGTACTCTACGGCTTTCTGAAAATCTCCAAGACTGTTATAGGCGTTGCCGAGATTACCGTACGCTTTTCCTTCTCCTGTCCTGTCTCCTACTTCTTTGGCAATTTCGAGGTGTCGTTCATGGTACTCTTTGGCATTCTGGAAATCTCCAAGCCTGTAATAGGCGTTGCCGAGATTACCGTACGCTTTTCCTTCGCCTGACCTGTCTCCCACTTCCTTCGAAATTTTGAGGTGTCGTTCATGGTACTCTATGGATTCCTGAAAATCTCCAAGGCTGTGATAGTTGATTCCAAGATTATTGAACGCTCTTCCTTCTCCTACCCTGTCTCCCAGTTCTTTCGAAATTCTGAGGTCTCGTTCATGGTACTCTATGGCTTTCTGGAAATATCCAAGATTGTAATAGGCGTTGCCAAGATTACAGTACGCTTTTCCTTCTCCTGCCCTGTTTCCTACTTCTTTTGAACATTTGAGGTGTCGTTCTTGGTACTCTATGGCTTTCTGAAAATCTCCAAGCCTGTAGTAGGCGTTGCCAAGATTACAGTACGCTTTTCCTTCTTCTGCCTTATCTCCCACTTCTTTCGAATTTTTGAGATGTCGTTCATGGTATTCTATGTCTTTCTGGAAATCTCCAAGACTTTCGTGGCCGATAATACCATTCGCCTTTGCTTCCATTCTTTTCTTTTCTGCTTCTTTGCCATATTTGTTGGCATTGTGTAAACTACAGTAGACCTCTACTTGTTCTTTCTCCGCCATTTTAATGGTAATTTGTAGTACATATCATTTTATTTTCCAGAGGATATTTGTTGTTGAAGATATTTGTTGTTGACAGCATAATATCTCTCAGCATTCTGTCTGTTGCTGGCTTGGCCATTTTCAGCTTTCCTGAAAAAGGTATAAATATTCTTTGGTTTTATTCTATTGTCGAGGCAATTTTTCCTTCTTTGCATTACAATCAAATCTCTTTAATACGGACACTGAAGGGCCGATAGGAAGTGTCCGTATTAAGCGGGTTATGTCGTTAAAATAAAAAAAAACCCTTTAATTCCAACAAAATGCTAAGGAAATAAAAGAAGACATCAGCATCTTCAAACCTTCACAAACTCGTCATTGCGCGGACTAAATTCACGGAAACACTCTAAAAACGCTCATCCATATATTAATTTTGAATCAAAACCATGCTCTGCCTTGGTGCCAAAAGTAGTCGAAAAATTGACGTCTACAGACCAAAGCAACTCCCAGCAACTCCAGCCTTATGGATATGAATTGGGCGACGGGATATTATACAAGATATACAACTTACTCTGAATGAGTGAAGGATTACATGGATTGTAAACCTAAATCAAACATGTTATAAACAAGAACATGGCGGCAACTAGCATGAACCCTAAGTAAAATGGAAACAACCGCTGATCATAAATACTGATAACTCTTTATTACGGCACTGCTGTAGTAACATGGCTCCTCAACTGCATGTCATGCAGTTAAGACAAAACAGTAGACCTACATGAGTCCCTAAGGCTAAACGTTCAAGAAACTATCAGTTCTAATGTTAAATGGGTCAAACAAAATCAAGTGTTCACTGCAATGTTCATTGACAATAATATCCTCGTGAAAGGCATCCTCCTGGAACACTTCATCGGCAGTCAACAATAGAACGAGCTTGTGTATAGGTCTGCCTAAATAATATATAGATTTAGCCAGGGCTAAAAGCGAAGCTCTGGTTAATAATACGAGTAAACAAAAAAAATTAAATAGTGTAATGCTAAACGGGGAAGACAATGAAAATGGCTTCAAGACTAATAGATCTAATTAGCCAAAAAACAAATTGCACGTGCAGCACACTTTTTCTTCCAATTGGCAAAAAACAAATTTGCACGTGCAGTACGCTTTTTTGTCTTTTCCTTGCCGTTGTTTTGCACGACTACAACGCTGTTTTGTACGACCAAAACGTCAAACTTCCTAGTTACACATTATTTTTATGGAGGAATTGTCGTTTGTGCTTACCCAATATTTTGTTTCCTGTGTTCATGTTCGCTTTTATATTTCACTGCCACTAATTTTCACCTTGCTGGCCGCTAGCATTTCTCATTTTCTCACCGCCGCTTTGAATTTTCGTGTTTTTCTTCCTACGAAATTCGTCTCCTTTGTTTTCAATAACTCGCTTTAGCTCTTTCTCTTTTATCCAAGTTACTGAAAGACAGTTGTGAGAGCATCGCACCTGTGATTTCTAGATTGGTTAGCAATTCATTTAAGGTGACTCGACCCAGTTTTTTTGGGGGGGTACCATCCTACTTTGAAGCCCTCTAGTATCCCCACCTTTACTTTTATCGTAAGTCTAACACATAGAATGGATAACATATAGATCAATCTACAATATAACATAAAAATTTTGGCGATCGGAGTAAATGTCACGTGGTTATAATGCCACGCCCCTTTGAGGTCTGAGTCGAAAATCTGCTGTTGCCGGCATTTTTTCGTGCAAATCTCTCGGCTACACATAGTGCGCATTAGTGCCTTGCGCTGAACAGAGTTTCACCAAAATCGCAAAGACCCAATTCGAGAAATTCAGCGGTTTCCAAATTTAGGTCATAATTTATGCGAAAATGATAAGCAAACTTTACACGGATTATATCTAATAAACTATGAGATTCATCTCTTTATTTTGGGCATCGTTATAACAGATGGGTCCTTGCAAGTCAGCAAAACGCTTTAGGGCCTTGTAAATGCGCGCGATTTCGAGCAAAGCAAACATATAGAAATTATAGTTTTCGCTATTTGTTGACGTTTGTCAGCGTTTAAGAGTCCTTCTCACGAAAAAAGCATTTTCTTAAAAATTCGTAGTTTTTTTTCCTTCAAATTTTTTCAGGGCCACAATTGATTAACTAACTACCCGGACTCTGAATTTCATGGTCATTGAAAAACTGTGACATTATCTTCTATAAGCCCAAACTTGAGTAAACATTGAAGATTTTTAGCGTTTTGGCTGAGTTTGTGCTTTGGGAGTTGTCTATTGTTTCTAGTCTGTCATTATACAGCATTCTTGTTCAGCACGCGTGCAATGACCGCGCTTGGCTGACTTCCGAATGCTCACCGAGATATAATAATTTTGGTACAGTGAGACAGGCCATCGCGTGATACATAGAGGTTTAAGTCACAATTTTTAATCAATTCTCGTGCTTCTTGTGCCTTTGCAAAAAAATCAAGAAGTGCTACACACTAAATCTACTTACTATTAAAAAAATATCATTTTTTCATAGGTTTAATGCAAGCCAATAATTAAACCAACTCGTGACGGGAATATCTCGGTGAGCATTCGGAAGTCAGCCAAGCGTGGTCATTGCACGCGTGCTGAACAAGAATGCTGTATAATGACAGACTAGAAACAATAGACAACTCCCAAAGCACAAACTCAGCCAAAACGCTAAAAATCTTCAATGTTTACTCAAGTTTGGGCTTATAGAAGATAATGTCACAGTTTTTCAATGACCATGAAATTCAGAGTCCGGGTAGTTAGTTAATCAATTGTGGCCCTGAAAAAATTTGAAGGAAAAAAAACTACGAATTTTTAAGAAAATGCTTTTTTCGTGAGAAGGACTCTTAAACGCTGACAAACGTCAACAAATAGCGAAAACTATAATTTCTATATGTTTGCTTTGCTCGAAATCGCGCGCATTTACAAGGCCCTAAAGCGTTTTGCTGACTTGCAAGGACCCATCTGTTATAACGATGCCCAAAATAAAGAGATGAATCTCATAGTTTATTAGATATAATCCGTGTAAAGTTTGCTTATCATTTTCGCATAAATTATGACCTAAATTTGGAAACCGCTGAATTTCTCGAATTGGGTCTTTGCGATTTTGGTGAAACTCTGTTCAGCGCAAGGCACTAATGCGCACTATGTGTAGCCGAGAGATTTGCACGAAAAAATGCCGGCAACAGCAGATTTTCGACTCAGACCTCAAAGGGGCGTGGCATTATAACCACGTGACATTTACTCCGATCGCCCAAAATTTTATGTTATATTGTAGATTGATCTATATGTTATCCATTCTATGTGTTAGACTTACGATAAAAGTAAAGGTGGGGATACCAGAGAGCTTCAAAGTAGGATGGTACCCTCCCAAAAAAACTGGGTCGAGTCACCTTAAGATGGCTGCTTTTCCTAAAGCATGGAAAATTGCTGAGGTGATACCCGTACCCAAAGAAGGAAACTCAGAGGAACCAGCCAACAACAGGCCCATTTCATTGTTACCCATCCTATCGAAAGTAAGTGAGAGACTGGCACACAAGCAGTTTGTGGAATTTTTGACAACGCATGACAAACTGTCGACTTATCAATTTGGCAACAGAAAAATGCATTCGACAGAAACTGCCCTCATAAATGTTACAGACAACATTTTGAAAGCAATCGATGAAAAATCTGCCTCGTTACTAGTACTGATTGATATGTCAAAAGCTTTTGACAGCCTTAATCATAATCTATTGTTAGGAAAATTACGAAACCTGGGTCTCAAAGCTTCCGTAATTTCCTGGTTTAGTAGCTACCTATCAAGTAGATACCAAAGAGTACGATACGAAGATTCAGTCTCAAAATTGTTCCCCTTAAAAAATGGAGTACCTCAGGGTTCGATCTTGGGCCCTATGCTTTTTACTATTTACATTAATGATTTAATCAGTGTTATTACCCATAACCAACCCGCTGCATATGTTGCTGACAGCCAATTGCACTTTAAATTTTCTGTATCAGACTCATCAAGTGCTATTGCAACCGTAAACCAAGATCTTAGGGACATCAGTAAATGGTGTGCAAAGAATTCTCTACTCATAAACCCAGAGAAGACAAAATTAGTGGTTGTTGGCTCAGCACAACTTATTAAGAGGCTACCTCATATCTCCTTATCCCTGTTGGACAAAAACTATTTCACCAGTGTCAGTTGCCAAGGATCTCGGGGTATACATTGAGAAGAAGAAGATGGCCGCCCGCAACGGCAAGTAGTCGTCGTAAAGTGGTGACACCAATGAAAACGTCGCTGAACAGTAAGAAATAAGCGTTGACAGGCCAAACACGTCTCATAAGCTCGTGATAATGTGAAACGTGACCTTGAGAGTCTGCTTGAACAGTGGTTCTCTTTCTTTTTTCTCTCGCGCGAAGGTTACTAGCACTACACAGTGCAAGACGTGTAGCATTCTAAACTTTGACTGAGTAAATCTTGTTTTTGCCGCACTAAATCTTATATTTAGAGGTCATAAAGCAGGTTTGTGACATGCATACTGGGTAATCATTTCCTGTGGTTTATGCTTCTGTACTAGGTGTCCCTGACAGGATTTGATTTCAGATGCAGTTGTTAAGTGTTTTATATCCTTTGACCTCTGTTTATTACGGCTGAATAAAGATTTTAGTTTTTTTGGTTTTCTCCGAAATGACCGTATCTGAATAAATACATGCATGCATGCAAGTTTCTTTGTCCGTGAATGTGATTATTTCCTGCCATGTCAGTATGACTCTGGGCCCAGCTCTATAGTATAGTGTGGTTTGCAGGATTTTGAATTTCCACGGATAGTGCGATCTTCAGATTTGAGTTGTACACTGTAGCTTAAAAACTAAAGCTACACCAAGTTTGGAGAAATATGCCGTGCGTCAGTCAAGATAATTCTCTTAGCGTTCACACAGTCCATTTAGTGTTTCTTAACATAAGTGAGTCTTTGAACTATAGCTAGAGCGCGATGTCTGTTCGTCCCAACGCAGCCTAAAA